ACTTCATCAGGGGCTATCAGTCTGACCCAGAGTTTGCTACGTTGTATGCGCAGCTATCTTCGGATCACCCGCCGGCCAGCCACTATCGCATTGCCGACGGGTACTTGCTCCTCCACTCGAGAGGCAAGGACTTACTGTGTGTCCCACGCGACCGCCGTCTTCGGACTCGCCTTCTCGGCAAGTATCATGATGCGCGACTCGCCGGCCATTTCGGAGTCAATCGCACGATTGCACGGCTTCGACAACGATTCCGATTGCCCGACGTCATTTCCGATGTCATGCGGTATTGCGATTCTTGCGAAGTTTGCCGACGCAGCAAACTCCGCAACCGCAATCCCTATGGCGAGTTACGCCCGATGCCTATCCCCCGGGAACCCGGTATGTCCATTGCTATGGATGTCACCGGTCCGTTTCCTCGAGACCGGCTCGGGCACGACGGCATCCTCACGGCTGTGGACCGATTGAGCAAGTACGCACGTTTTCTTCCTTGCAAGTACTACTCCACGGCTCCCGAGCTGGCACGCCTCTTGCACACCGGTTGGATTTGTGGCCACGGCGTACCCGAGGACATAGTCAGCGATCGCGACACTCGTTTCATGTCGACTTTTTGGACCTCTCTCATGCAGGAGTCCGGCACGACGATGAAACCCAGTTCGGCTCGGCATCCACAGACGGACGGGCAAACGGAGCGGGCACATCAGACCGCTCAAATGATGCTTTGTACGTTCATCCGTCCGGACCTGAAAGATTGGGTTGACCGCCTCCCCGACATCGAGTTCGCCTACAACACTTCAGTGCACCCGGCGATCAGTGTGACTCCATTCGAGTTGCACCACGGTGGACGGAAAGGCCGTATCTTCGCTGATCTTCTCCTCCCTCGACCAGCCGACATTGACGCCGCTTGCTCTCCCGCTTCTTCGGAAGTACAGGGAATTGTTGGCTCAAGCCCGCACAAACATGCAAAAGGCTCAAGTCCGCATGCAGCAGCAAGCCAACAGGCGCCGCGTACCATGTCCCATCCGCGCCGGAGATCGAGTTAGGGTCTCCTCGGAAGAGTTTGCATTGGAACAGGATGTCTCACGCAAACTACTCCCTAAGTGGTTTGGACCATGGACAGTGACATCAGTCGCGGGCGATGAGCCCGATGGCCCTTCATTTGTGATCGACATTCCTGAGCATTTGACGGTCCATCCAGTCTTTCATGCGTCAAAGCTGGCAACATATACACCAGCTAAGAGCGATGACTTACCGGGCCGACGATCGCAGGACCCTCCTTCTATGGATGGTCATCAGGAGGTTGACCGCGTCATCTCAGATCGCAAGTATGGCAGCAAGCCGCGCCAGTACAGAGTTACATTCAGAGCATGCGATCCCGACGACACTCGGTGGATTTCAGGAGCAGATTTGACAGCGTCTGCAGCGCTGATCTACGCTCACTACGAGCGACAGAGGTTAGCCAAGGGACCTCCACAACCTGCCCCTCCCACCCGGACTGTGGTCCCTCCCTCAGACAGACAGCTTCGCCCTCGTAGGTAAGCTCGGTCTTTCAAGGAGGGGGGGGGGTGGCATACTGTGCAGCCACAGGGCTCGTCCCGGACCTCCAGCATGTTTCCCTACAGGGAAACTTCCAGGCTCTTGCCTGGAAGCTTCCTTCTGACAGGGCCTATAGGCCCCAGCCTTTTTCCCTACAGGGAAACTTCCAGGCTCTTGCCTGGAAGCTTCCTTCTGACAGGGCCTGCAGGCCCCAGCCTGTTTCCCTACAGGGAAACTTCCGG